TTTCCGGCGGATTTGGCCGCCGGAAAAAGGGGTTTTTTTGGTAGTGCTAGATCGATATCGATGACTGATTTGAGGACATTGTTGGGTGCGACAACGACGATGTCGAGTCCTTCTTGGCAGTGACCGACGAGATTTGGAATTAAAGGTGGTGTTGCCGCAACAACTCTTCGGCTTCCCGTGATTAATATGGATGTTTTTGTCAAATTGCAAGGAGATTGAAAGAGTATTCTAGATATTATTTCATTAAACTCAAATCAAAACTAATCGGTGGAATCCAAATCACATTTCATATCATTTTCCTTCACATCCATTATGTTTCATCTCCACCTCCATTACTGAGTTTCATTGGAATTGAAATTGCACAAGCGATGATGGCAAACGATAAAGGAAACGACAGTAACCCATTTTTCATATTTAGTTCATTGAAATTAAAACTACAATTTACGATTTTTATAGGACTTTTAATCGATTTTCTTGATCAATAGTTGAACTCCAAAATTCAATTTGATTACCTGAAAATATGATAAGAACATTAATCAAAACGTTTTGGTTCATTTTCTAAACCCACTAACTGCATTCGTATTGTTCTTCATCTTCATTGTTTCGGCAATCATTCATCTTCTAGACCCATCGATTTTATGGTGTGAAATAGCTTATAGTTAACAATGTTTAAATCATATCTACAAAGTGTTTAATGAAATGTTTCTTCTAATAATGTTTTTATTTTCACTCCCAAACTAGACATCATTGTGAAACAACATGTAACATATTTTCTGGGAGATAGGATTGTAGTGTTTATCATGAAACATGTGTGAGATAGCCTACAATTGACGATGCTTATATAATGTCTACAAAGTGTTTGATGAAATGCTACTTCTAATAATGTTTACGTTTTCAGTCTCAAACTAGATATCATTGTGAATTTTGAAACAACTTGTAACATATTATTTGTGTAACATTCCAAAAATTGGGAAAGACAAAATTTCCATAAATAAACCAGATATGTGGTATATAATATCAAAATATGAGCTTGCCCAAAAAAAGAACAACATACACCAATTAAATTAAAATTTATAAACAAATTGGTTTGAGGTTAACAACATATGATTCTAATCCTTAAAGAAATAGATTACAGTCGGGTGTCATCCAAACCATCAAAAGGCTATAAATTTGTACGGTGTCCCACAATGCTCCCCAAGCTCACTTTACAAGATCGGTCAAACCTTCATGGTGGCTATACCACTAAAACTTGAGATACACGTTCGCACAAAACAAGTGTAGGTAAAAAGCCTAGTGAGCATGATCATAAAATAAGTAGTCACCATTTATTAGTTAAAACCATTTGTGAACCATTTACGTCATTCATTTGGAATCACGAGGGAGACCCATATCACTTTACTAAGTTTCACTTCAAGAGACGGTTGACCTTATTGTCAAGCATTTGCAGGTAACACCTCAAGGCTTGACACACTTAAGGACTACCTCCAAGGCATAACCTCAAGCAGTAGAGATCCTAGTGCCTACTTCCAAGATAGCACACATCAAGACTCAACCCTCCTAGTGCGTTCATCCAAATATACAATAGCAATTTGACATATTCATATGATTTAAGTAGAAGCATGTATTTCATAACTCAAAGATAAACTAGTGGTCCAATCACTTAAACTCATCATATAAATATAAGATTCCCAAATGTTCCACGACCTCAAATTAAGTCAATCAATGTCTCACAATCCATCATATAATTTTCTCAAGGACTTTAATCCAATTCCAAATGAGATCTCTTTTTAAACAAGTTTGATCATGGAAAGGTAGATTCATAACCTCAATGGACTATGTTTACTTTTGAGCACAAAATCTCTACAACGAGTTTATATAGCAAAATCCCCAAATAATGAGTAAATAAGGCTAGAAATAGAAGTAAACATTTTAGACATGTATCTAATTTTACAAAGCATTTTAGAGAAAACCTAGGAATGGAGTTGGAATCTTGAAGCTTTGACCTACGACTAATGTTCTCTAGTTTCCAAGTCAAGAGACGCTTTGAATGCCCCTCCAAGGTAGTTGTAGGTTGAAGTTCAAGAATTTATTGCTTGGAGAAATGAGGAAACAGAAGTAGGTGAAGGAATTAATTAAGGGTGAAGATAAGAAAATGAAAGAAATCAACAGCTAAGGAGAAGTCGGTCGATGATTTAAAGGTTTAAAGAGGGCGGGTGACCTTTATGTGGGTTAGGCCGCATGCGCCCCACAATTCCCTCTGTTTCCTCCACCTCGTAACTCCTTTCTTGAGGATTAAAGAGGAAAGACATTTCCCTCTGTTTCCTATGCCCATCAAGATTAAGTCTCATCAAACAGTCACAAGGGCAATCCAGCCATGACTTGGGCTGCATGCATGGCAGTCACCTGATCGATAAAACGATCCTCAAGAGGAGTCGGTTGGCAAGCGAGTCCTTAGACGTAGCCAAGGTTTTGAAAAGTAGAGCCCAACCAATATAGATGTCGAAACGAAATATCCTAACATTCTAAATTTTACTTACCGAAAAGTCTTCGGGTGTTATAATTGGGGATCAGATTATAGTGTTCCATGTCCTGTCATGAAACAAACGTGTTTGTTTCATATCATGAAATAATATTATTTTTACATTATTATTAGATTACTAAGAAAGATATATTATTATATATGAACCTAGTTTCTATAGCAGATTGTAATCATTGCAACAATTGTTGTCAAGGACAACATAACTGGTGATCCTTCAAGAACGACATCATTCACATGATACGTCTAGCTACTCAACATCATGCCATGTATCATCTAGTGGCGTTACTACATATCTCAAGAAGCTAGAATTTAGGTCATTTTCCAACATGTTCAACAACAAAATGTTATTAGTTTTACCCACTGAATCCATTGTTATATGCCATTAGGTGAAACATTAAGGTGGCGTTTGTTTTTTAAGAGGTGCTGAAGTCTGAAGTCTGAATTCACTTCTGAATTTTAAGAGGTGGTGCTGAAGTCTGAAATCTGAATCAGTCAGATTGTTTGTTTTTACGTCTGAAATCTGAAATCTAAATCAGTCAGACTGTTTGTTTTTACGTCTGAAGTCTGAAATCTGAATCAATAAGACTGTTTGTTTTTTTAGCTGACAAACTTCTAAAGTCTGAAATCWGAATCAATTTATTTCAATTAAATTTAACTGAAATATCCAATCATTTAAACCATTTGTAAACTACCATATATTTTTAACGCACAACCAAGTAACTTGTTCAAATTCTAAAACACGTAACCAAGTAACTTGTTCAACTTCCAAAACACGTAACCAAGTAACTTGTTCAAATTCTAAAAACTAATCCATGAGTCCAATTCGTCTTGCCGTCCTTGAAATCCATGATGTTAATATATCAGCGTTTAAAGGGATCGTCAACCATGTCTCTCTTAATAACGTTGACTGCCCAAAATGTCAATGACTGCACTATAAAGAGGATCCCTTTTATCAAGGTCAAGAGTGTTCAACCGTTCCATACAAGCATTTAGGTTTGAGGTTTGTTGTGCAACAAGTGTCTGAAGTGCACCCCTCATTTCTAAAGCCAATTCCTCCATGTCGACCTTGGTTTTACTCTTCTTATTCGGTCTAGACGAAGTTGTGCTCGCTTTATTAGCAGTTGGTCCTTCCTCCTCATCTCCATCCACCTCATTTTCATTATCTTGAGTAGTGTGTGTGTATATATATGAAATCTGAAAAACCAATCAAATTAACACACAAGAAAAGATAAAACACCTAAATCAAGATATGTCTACAATGATCTCATTTTTAAGCACAAAAAGCTTGTAGGCTTTAAATTACGTAGTCCACATTTAGCAGGATATAAAATTCCAAAATAGGAATTAAAAGCAACTTGAATTTTGTAGTCAACATTTAGCAGGATATAAAATTATCAAAAAGAAATTAAAAGCAAAGCCTATTTGCCAATGAGGTGATACCAATGAGGCATTCTACTGGAACATCACATAAATCAAGATCACCATCAATGTTGCTTAAACCAAGACCCTTTCAACAACATTGCTTACACCAAGACCCTGTACTAGATCAAACATACAACCCAAATCATGCTGTCTTCACATGGTATAGTCTGTCAGAAAGTTGCTAGCTCACAGTCCAGTTGCTTACACCAAGACCCTTTCAACAACTGATGTTCTTATCAGAATAGGTTCCACAAAGAAAAAAAAAAGGCTGCTAATTTCAATTTTTTACTACATGAGAAATTACAGTTGCTAGCTCACAGTCCAGTTCAATCCAATCTCCACATGTTTTGCTTTCTAGTTTATATACACACATGAGAAATTACAGTTTCAATTTTTCTTCATAATGGCTTTGTGAGAATGTCTACAAGCTGGCACATGGTCTGATGTGTACTGGTTGGATCAATCTTGCAAAAAATCATCACACAACATTTACAAAAAATCATTTATATACAACAACATTTGCAAAAAATCATCACACAACATTTTTAAACTCAGTTTTTGTTGATCAATCTTGTTGCATGATTATATCAAGCACCCATATCATAAACAAGCAAATCAAATGAACCCATGTGTTGAATCAAATGAAACCTCTAATAAAAAACCTAAAAAACTAAATAATTGTGAATTTATGGGTTTTTGTAACTTCTGGGCCAGAGATGTTCTCCAAACAGCACTGACCTTCATATGGCTACCTGATGGAAAGCTCTCCAAAATCATACTCAAGACCGACTCATTATTGAAAGTAAAACCGCATTATGTTTGTTTCCATTTCAAAACCCATTACCTATTCTCAACCTTTTTTTTTTAACATAGCATTCTGCCATAAATCATATTCAAACCTGGTTTGATTTCTCTTCTTCACACTTACCATGAATAAAGGGCAATATACTTAAGAAGACACTACTACCCACATATTAGGTCACCTATAGCAAGGATTCAGTAACTTTATTTTGTATTTGTGTAGCTACAAGTCAAGTAATTTGTATCGTCAGCAAGCATAGACGCAGAAATCAAACCCATTTAGCTCGAGAAATCAAAGAAGAATTGAAATCGAGATGGATACCTTAAATCGAGAACTTGAGAGATGAGAGATCGAGAGCTTGTGAGACAGATCGAGAGCTTGAGAGATGAGAAATCGAGAGCTTGATTCAGGGAAGTCGAGCGCAAATAGATGAGTAGAGTTGGGAGGCGACGATTTTGAAATAAGAGATAAGAGGTTTCTCAATCGCTATTCAATTCAGACCTAACAAGAACTTTTAAGCACTTAATTGGAAAAAAAAAAAACAAACACTCTGAATTCTCTTATGTCTGACCGATTCAGACTTAAGAGGAGATTCAGAGGTTTTTTTTAAAAACAAACAGCCCCTAACAATGTATGTTTCATTGATATTTGGTAAAGCAGTCCCTCCGTTATATTCAACACAATTTATTATTGATATTCGTAAATTACTTCATTGCCATTTGCGTTAAAAAGGATTCATTAGTCGGTGGATAGATATTTTAATTATGGTTGAGATTGGTTTTCATGATTCTCAATCTTTTTGTTGTTCTAATTTTATTATGATCCTTCTATGTATCTATATATATATATATATATATATATATATATATATATTTTAATTAACGTTTTAAGTCAAATTCCAAAAAATATTAGTTTCCTAATTCATCTATTGAATTCTGGCTGAGATTGGATCTCACAATTATCACAAAATAACCAGTTTCTCGACCCCTTATATATGTGTGTATATATTATGAGCAAATATTACACAATATTAATAACTAGTTACTTACATGTTAATGCTCAATCTAAGCTTACATTTTGTTATTTATCTATTTGCCCCTATTTCTTCATGTTGAGGAGTTGCTCGATTCCTAAAAAAATCCGATTTAATATTTTTGCGTTTTCTCATGGTTTGACGACATATAGTTGGCCTCTTTCACTGAGTTGTTACCATTATTGGCAGGATGGACTTATTAAGAGATAATGGGTGCACGGGCTGCGCTCAATCGTCCCTTCGTGATGGAATTTTCTTTTACTAGCCGTAAGTGTGCATCCACTTAATTTTGAAGGACGCTCTTACATTCTTTTAAAACCAAACTTATAACAAACATTCGAAGTGATTGAAATGGTATGGACGCTACCTTTTTATTGAGATAATCCTTTCGGTAGAATTCGGCCACGAACAAGCTGGTGTAGACGTAGTTTTACGTGTTGCTCAAAAATCAAAGACGATTCCATTTTTGTAAAAATATATTATATGAAATTGATACAATTGAATTTTCTTCAGACGGATTTGTATTGACTTTTTCCTAAGTTAAACTGTGACTTTATTAACATTTGATCGACTTTAAAGATGCAGAAAATTTTCTGTATCCGTCACTGATCGATCGTAATCTAAATTTTATCATAAATATTTATAATTGTTTTGATTTAACATAAAAGGTTTTACTTTTTTAAGGCATCCAATTACTTTTATTAAATAAAATAGAAAAGCAAATCACTGTAACAGGAGGTCTCGGGTTCAAATCGAAGGAGGAATAAAAATCCCCTTGTGATCACGAAGGTTCAAATGCAGTGACTTCGAACTATCTGCAAAGCAGGTGTCGCCTTGGGTTTAGTTGGCTCGAATAACGGATTAGAGATGTAGGTTAATTAGAAAAAAAACAAATCACTCTAACATATTGCTATACAAATAATTGGTGCTTCAGAAAATACTTAACTTTTCTTATAATATTGTTTATGATAACGTTTTTAACATGTTAGTCTATAAATAATTGGTACTTAAAGTTTTAGATTCTTGACCTTTGTGAATATAAATTGGTACTTAAAGTTTTAGATTCTTGACCTTTGTGAATATAAGTAGTACCGTCGGCCATAGCTTCAAACTAGCCATGGCTGCATCATTTCTTCTTCTTCTTCTTCTAACCATAATATCATCATCATCATCATCTTCTTCTTCTTCTTCCTTAAGTCGTGGCTTAACTCGAGGTTCTTCTCTATCGGTCGAAAACCGAGATGAACTTTTAGTTTCGCCCAACCGTCTTTTCAAAGCCGGTTTTCATCAAGTCGGAGATAATGCTTATGGCTTTGCGGTATGGTTCTCGGACACAATCGGGAGTCGCACCGTGGTTTGGATGGCTAACCGAGATGTACCCGTTAACGGAAAGCAATCAGAGTTGTCCTTACGGAGAGATGGCAATCTCGTTTTGATAGATGCCGGTAGAACTGTTATTTGGTCAACCAAGACGAAATCAACTTCTTCCTCATCACTTCAATTACAACTGCTTAACACAGGTAACCTTGTACTCGATGTTGGAGGCCAAACTCTTTGGCAAAGCTTTGATTATCCAACAGATACCCTTCTCCCGAATCAACCCTTCACTAAAAGCACTAAACTCGTTTCTTCAAAAAGTCGTTCTAATTATTCTTCGGGTTTCTATAAGATGTTTTTCGATAGCGATGGCATTCTTCGACTTATTTATGATGCTCCAGAAACAACTACGATTTACTGGCCTCATCCGAGCTTTAGAAGTTGGGAAGTTGGGAGGTTGCAATATATGTACAGTCGAAGAGCAATCCTTGATTCTAATGGTCAATTTAACTCATCAGATGGTTGGAAATTCAAATCGGCTGATTTTGGAATGGGGCGGCAACGAATAATGAGGATCGATGTAGACGGTAACGCAAGAGTTTATAGCCTCGTTGAGCATGAAAGAAGAATGAAATGGGAAGTTGAATGGCAAGCCATTTCTCAGCCTTGCAAGATTCATGGTACATGTGGACCAAACAGTCTTTGTACATATTCTCAAGATTCAGGTAGGAAATGCAGTTGCTTATCTGGATACAAGATGGTGAATTATGAAGATTCAAGTTATGGGTGTGAACCTGAATTCAAACCTTGCATCCAAGATGACTGTGATTTCATTGAGCTTCGTCATGTAGAATTCTATGGATATGATGTTCGGATACACGGAAACTACACTGTTGATGCTTGTAAGAAGGATTGTTTACAGGATAACACTTGCATCGGGTTCCAGTTCGGATGGAAAGAAGACTCGGGATTCTTTTATTGTTGCATAAAGACTTCTTTGCAAAATGGGTATGAAATGGGGTACGAATATTCGATGTACATCAAACTACCAAAGAGGTTAGTCTCATCATTTAAACAAAAAACAGTCAGCCAATCAAGCTTAAATTGTCCACCCCCCATGTTAACAACCATAACAAGGTCTTATGAGGAAAACAATGATATCAAACCACTTGGTTTCATGTTGGTCTTCGGATGCGTGATCGGGTTTATTGAGATTGTCTGCATAGTTGTTTTCTGGTATTTTAGCAGTGAACGATCATCTACAACCGAGCAAATTTATATTCCAGCTGCAACAGCATTTCGAAAGTTCACATATAGCGAGCTAAAGAAGGCATCATGCAATTTCAGTGAAGAGATAGGAAGAGGTGGTGCTTGCGTTGTGTATAAAGGCAGGTTATCAGACAACAGGGTTGCAGCAATCAAAAGGCTCAAGAACACTAATCACCATGGGGAAGCTGAATTTCAAGCTGAGATAAGCACGATTGGGAGGGTGAATCACATGAACTTGATAGAGACATGGGGTTATTGTGCTGAAGGAAAACATAGGCTTGTGGTTTATGAATATATGGAGAATGGATCGTTGGCTAAAAACCTGGGGATCGGTAAACTTGATTGGGCGACAAGGCTTGGTATCGCCACGGGTACTGCCAAAGGACTTGCTTATTTACACGAAGAGTGTTTGGAGTGGGTTCTACATTGTGATGTGAAACCCCATAACATATTGTTGGATGCTAATTATAATCCTAAGGTGGCAGATTTTGGTCTTTCCAGATTGTTTGATAGAAGTGGTATCAACCAGTCGGACTTCTCCATGATTCGAGGGACTCGAGGCTACATGGCTCCCGAATGGGTGTTCAATCTTCCGATTACCTCAAAAGTTGATGTATTTAGCTACGGGGTGGTGATATTGGAGATGATAACAGGTAGGAGTCCAGCAGGCAAACATCATTCCAACAATGAAAACGGCGAGGTTGAGGTTGAGCTTGGGCTAATTGAGTGGGTGAAAAGTATGATCCAAGAGTCGGACCAAAGTCGAACAGAATGTTGGGTTGAGAAGATCGTAGATCCTTCAATAAGTGGGAACTATAATCGGACCACCATGGAAAATCTAGTTAGAACTGCAGTGCAATGTGCCGAGGAAGATAGGGAGGCAAGACCCTCAATGAGTCAAGTGGTTAGTATGCTTCTCCATGCCTAATTGTATTTAACAATGGCATGATCTTGCCTTCTTGGATTTTAGAGATATTATATACATGTGTGTGTAATGAGATGATAAGTAGAAGAAAACAGTTTTAGGGGCATTTGTAAACCAAATCCATTAAAATTGAGAGGTTTTTAGAGAAGGTTTTGTTTTTTATACCAAAGGTATAAGGGTGTGTTTGGTTTGATGGAATGGTTGTATGGGATTTGTATTTTGTGGAAGGATTTTACACTACTAGAAAAATGGGTATTTCCGGCGGCCAAATTCAGCCAGTATTTTTCCAGCGGATTTCCGGCGGAATTTAAAAAAGTCAACTTTTGTTCGCCGGAAATCCGCCAAAAAAAATAAACCGGTTATATTTCCGGCGGATTTCCGGCGGATTTCTTAATTAAGGGTTAATTAATCTTTAAAAATTAATTAATATTTAAAAAAAATTTAAAAAGATTTTTCCGGCGGATTTCCCGCGGACAATTTAAAAAAAATAAAAATAAATAAATCCGCCGAAATAGTTTTAGAAAAATAATTTTTAAAAAATAAAAAAAAAAACCTTTTAATATTTTCCAGCGGATTTCCGGCGGAAAATTTAAAAAAATATCAGCCGGAAATCCGCCGGAAAAATTTTAAGAAATTTTTTTTCAAAAAATCTTTTAATTTTTTCCGGCGGATTTCCGGCGGAAAATTAAAAAAACTTTTAAAAAAATAAATCCGCCGGAAATATTTTAGGAAAAAATTTTAAAAAATCTTTTAAATTTTTCCGGCGGAAAATTAAAAAAAATTTAAAAGAAAATAAATCCGTCGGAAATCCGCCGGAAATAGTTTAGAAAAAAAAAATTTTTAAAAATATAAAATATTTTCCTTATTTTTTCCGGCGGATTTCCGGCGGGAAAATAATGTTTTTAAAAAAAAAATCCGCCGGAAAAAATTAAAAATAAAAAAATAAAGAAAATTTAAAAAATAGAGAAAAATCATTTTTTAAATTTAAAATACATTAACGGACCGTATTGGGCCTTAACGGACCGTATTGGGCTTTAACAGATCGTATTGGACATTAATGGATCGTATTTGCTTTAACGGACCGTATTGGGCCTTAA